TATGCTGATACAGAATTGATCCATCCACATGAAGATCTCTTGTGCCATTCCTTTATAGCCATAACCTCAGTGTCTGGGCATAATCACTAATCATACACCTTTGAATCTCAAAAATGCTTTAGTTCAAAAGATAAATTATATAATCATCCAATCTATGACCATACTAATTTGAAAATGACTTTCCTTCCCTTAATATATAACGTATGTGGGATTGAATTCAAACTATCTCACTATATGTATTGTTGAATAAATCAGTAAAACTATAACACTACAAATTTATAAAGTCACATTATTTTCTAGTTTAAATGACTTTGTCATCCAGCCTCCTCATTTGAAGATATAAAGTAATTGAACATAGAGAATACAGTTCAATCATAACAAAGATAAAAAAATAAGTCTGGGCAGCGCTTGTGGCTCAAAGGAGTAGGGCACTGGCCCCATATGCCAGAGGTGGTGGGTTCAAACCCAGCCCCGGCCAAATACTGCAAAAACAACAACAACAACAAAAAATAAGACTTTGATAACTACACCAAAGTTCTTTCTATTACTATACTATATGTTACATTGACATAATATGGCCTATTTTATAGATCGCACATATGTTTTATCAGTTCTAACAATTATCCCTACTATTAGTATTTTGCAAATGTGGGAGCCAATCCTCATAAAAGTTAACAGAATTTACCAATAGTGTAAAAATAGTAAATGGGAAATTCAAGATTTTTAAATTCTATTACCAGAGTTATCTATTAGAAAAGAACCCAAATGACATTCATCTGGGCAAATCAAAGACAGTATATTAACATGGCTGCTCTAGGAAAAAGACTAATAACTCATCTCACTATATGATCCCATCTTAAGAAACTATATTATTTCTATAGAGCTATTTGCGTGGTTCCTTAAAAGAACTTATCCTGTAATTAACTCTAAACAGTAAAAGACTAGACAAACAGATAAAAAGTTCCTCTGTCAATATTTTTAAGCCAATAGTGAAAACTATAATTCCCTATAATATTGCATTATTCAGCTCACAAACCAATAAATTTGATCATAAAATAGAAATCCTTCTATAGAGTTCTAGTTAGGCACAGTGATTATTAAGACAATATTATAACAGAATAATTCCATGTTAGTAAATATGTTGACTTTAAATAAGATAAATTAAAACTGATTTTTCTTGGCCAGGGACGGTGGCTCATGCCTGTAATCCTAGCACTCTGGGAGGCTGAGGTGGGTGGATCACTTGAGCTCAGGAATTTGAGACAAGCCTGAGCAAGAGTGAAACCCAGTCTCTACTTTAAAAAAAAAAAAAAAAAATTGAGGCAAGAAGATCACTTGAGCCCACAAACTTGAGGTTGCTATGAGCTATTATGCCATAGTACTCTAGTCGGGGCACCAGAGTGAGACTCTGTCTCAAAAAAGAAACAAACATTAGAACCTTGATTTTTTAATTTAAAAAACGATTGTTAACATGATTTAAACAATATGCTAAATTCCAAGGGAATAACAACATAAAAAGTTCTGATCCCTTATGCTCAAGAAGTTTTTGATGTAGGAAAGATTAAGGCAGAATTTAAAATAAAACTGTAACAAGAACAAAGATTAGAATAAATTAAAGAACATGACACACTTACAAAACTTCAAGTAGGGATGTCTAGGGATTAACAAGATTAGAGATAGAGAACAATCTCCAAAAACATAAAAATTTCTTTAAATGGCAGGCTAAGACTATTATTTGGAGTACTAAATTCCATATTTAGAAAGGGTTGTATTTTATTCCATTGGCAATATAAAGCAACTCAAGATTTATATTTATATAATCATTATTTTATTCTTGATATTGCCAATTACTTTCTTTCTGTATTATATAAGGCATTATTCCTCTTCTGTTCATTTAAAGTATTATTCCAACACTGCAATTGAGAAGTCAATGTATGAGCTTTGCTGATTCCTTATTTTGTTGCCTTCTCAATGATGTGCTTTAAAATATTCTTAAAATATAAACTATCACTGTCCCTTTTCATTAATTATATCAAGAGGATCATTCAAAATATCTATATTTTCTTACATTGATGAAAATGAAATAATTAGTGAAGGTTTTTTAAGTAAAAAGTTTTAGAATGATAGTTGATACCAATGTAACAACTAATTAAGAAGCTGAGAAACTGAGGACAGAAAAATTAGTTAGCAGGGTACTATTACCATCTGGATCATGAACTTCACATAGGGTAGATAATAAATATGGGAGAAAAACATTAAGTAACCACTGCATACCTGATAAGACTGGACACTAAATTGCTTTGTGGTGAGTCAGAGTTTAAAAGGATATGAAGATTGTATCAATTGCTTTAGCTTACATATTTAGGAAGAAGGTAGTACTATTAATTAACAGACGTTAACAGGTCAATTTGTCACTAAATAATAGAAACTATCTAGAATGATTTACTTAAAATATAGGGCTTTACTTTCTTACCAAAAGAAGAGTCAGGATATAGGTGCTTAACATTTTTTCAGTGGCTCACTGGCTCAGAGGCTCAGTGATGTTATAGCCAGTTGCTCTTGGCCCTTTCTTTAGGACTCTAAAATGGCTGGTACACTTGCAGACCACAGGTAAGTGTTCAAGGAAATAACAAGGGAAGAAGAAATGATGCTTGCTTCATCTGCTCTTATATTAGGAAAACAGAAACCTTTCCAGAGACACCTCTCCTTCTTCTCCTATCCCTGCTGTAGGCTCTCTCTTGTCTCTCACTGGCAAAAAGCAAGGCTGGAAAGCCTTAACTGCTCCAGTATCTATACTAAAGGTGTGCAGAGAAGAACATGACTGGAAATAAATGCTGAGTTATGCAGTCAATAGTGTCTGACAGAGGTCTTGAATTCCTCCCAGGAAGAAGGCTTAGAGAGTTAAATTAGGCATTTGGTTTCAAACTTGCTGAGGTTAAGAAGACATTAAGATACTTGAGTAGAACACTAGGCCTGACAGTCATTAGTGCACATAAATTACTTCCATAGATGATGCCATATGAATGGATGAACACTGCAATAAAGAGACAACAAATACTAGGGGGAATATGTAACAACAGGACTCTCATTCATTACTGTTGAGAAGTCAGAGTGGCAGAACAGCTTTGGAAGACAGTTTGAGAGTTTCATACACAATAAACATACTTTTACCAATACATACGATTTAGCAATCACACTCCTTGGTACTTACTCAAATGAGGTGAAAAATCTATGTTCACAAAAACAAAAAAACAAAAAAAACAAAAACAAGTACATGGGTATTTATAGGAGGAGTTAAAAAAAAAAGAAATAATCTTTTATATAAAGCCACCAAAAGATAAGGAGGAAATTTTAATCTCTCACTTCTTTCACTTAGTATTACTGGCTTATTTCCTTCTAATAGCAATATTTCTATTTCTATTCCTTTCTATAAGTAGTAGCTGCCACTTAATTAAATTTAACAGAAACACATAACCAGAAATGCCAGAATAAAGATCACAAATTTTTACTTTAGATTCTGCTTTATTACCTATTGCTTATTTGTTTATTTGTAGAGACAAGGTCTTGCTATACTTCCCAGGCTGGTTTCAAAGCTCTGGCATCAAGTGATCCTCCCACTTTGGCCTCCCAAAGTGCTGAGATTATAGGCATGAGCCATTGCACCTGGCTTCAGGTCCCATTTTAAATGAAAATAACCATATCACATCGAGCACATGAAATCCGTCCTCTCATACTGATAATACACATACAATGGAAGCTGCCTTTCAAAGAATAATGTGTTCTATTTTGCAAATATAGATTTTAAAAATTATACTTTATTTTCATAAAATAGTAAATTCCTTGAAGGTAATTAACCATAATCAGAATGACCTATAATTTGACTCATTCTTATTTACTGTTCTGTTCTATCCATCTATAAATTCAATAGTAAATAAGAGAAAAGTACATTAAACAATACTAACAACGTCATTATGAGCCCCCACCTAAGAATCCCAAGCTAAATACATTTTGTGGAAAAATCTGACTTCTACCAAACTTTTGACTTCTTGAACAGAATAAAAATATCTTCCACATTAAAATATCACCCTTTTCCTCAATTTTGGTAGATGATTCTGGCTTAGTAAACTATATTGTCGATGACATAATATGCATATTACTCTGTAATCTGCAGCAAAAAATGAATTTGAGACAACAAAGTAGAATACAATCTTCTTGGTGGCAAATCTTTTCTTAGTGCACAATAAAAATAACAATGAACCTTTTTGGTTTCCCATGTATTTTTTTTTCTTCAGTCTATTAATGAGAATGCAAGCACCTTGAGGGTAGAGACTATTACAATGTCAGACTACACCGGGATCTGGGACAAAGACAAAAAGTAGAATGAGAAGTCACAAGCATCTTAAGAGAAAAATGTATTTGGTAGGATTAAAATCATGTCCTTTTCCCATGATTACTGGATCTCTATTACAAAGAGATCAAAGTCCTTGTCCAGGAATAAATGCCCACTTTACTTGTTCCAAGTTCTAATTAAATTTATTATCTTCCTTCCTCTTTGTCATTGTAACATTCTAAGTACTCCTTCAATTACCAAACATATGCACATATCCTTCAAGGAGTGTCAGTTCTGTGAGTGACTAATACTACAAGTCATTAAAAATAATTATTATAATAAATATTGATGCAAAACAAAGGCCAATTATTTTTTTCTTTTAGTATGGTTACTTTTTATTAATTACAAAAAGTAATACTATAAAAACATAAATAGTATAAACATGTACCACCATTCAAAATTCAGAAAATATGTTGTTTTCATGTACACATACATGAAATAAAATAATACCATAACAGAAGGGTGCTGTATCTGTGTTTAAAGAAGGGGCTGTTGGCAAACACCACAGCTCACTTCTGCTGAAATGTACACAACTGATATATGCAGCACAGAAAGCTGGCACCAAGGGCTTACAACCTTAATTTGCCTGCAAGAAGGAACGGAGATTTACCTTCAGAGCACGTTCTCGATTGTTTTCAGCAGTCAGATGTCTCATGTTGTTTGCTGAAGTCTGGTTCTGCTCTTTCAGATGATGAAGCTCCTGCTCTAGCCGTTTGCACTGCCACAGGGGAAGAATCCCATTAAGTAAAGGAGTTATAGCATTTTTTTTACTGAGCCACATGAATTAATGTAAATAATATCATTGTATTCTCTGTAAGACAAGGGTTTATTTTTTGCAACAAGAATGGTAAGTAAAAGTAACATTAAATACAAATAAAATATAATTGTTTATAGTACCCTAGTAATTTAATTATAACTTTCAGTTAGGTTTTTGTTAATCTAAATATTATGATATAAATCATAAAAATACTTGTTTCTGTAAAATTAAACTATATTTAAACTTTAACCAAATGGTTCAGATTATCTGTTGAATAAAAGCATGCCTCTAAAAGTCTCATTGGATTTTAAATAAACTACAACATGATATTCTATAATTTTTGTCAATATTATAAAATAAAAATCATAAAGTATACATTCAGAGATATTAGAAGTATTCTAAACAAACAATTTTATAGGGGAAAAAAGCAAGAGCCAGAGCACTAGGAGACTTGAAAACAGATAAGAAACTAAGTATTCTGACTAAATCTCACTTTTAGTTAAACAAGTGATAACAAATACATGAAATGACACTTTTACCTACTTGAAATATAGTGAAGAGTGTGAGACAACAAAAGTAAAATAAGTAATAAAGAAATTATAAGTATAATAAAAGTATAAAGAGACTAAGAGACATATGTTCAAATATTGCAATATCTTGAAATTTGAATATAACATCACAATATAAATATATAAAACATTTTACACAATTATACATGCTGTAAAATGATATGCTGCAAATAGGGACAAATATGAGATTTTTTAAAGGAAAAAAGTACTCAGCCCATCTTTCGGGAAAAAGTTAAAAATCACTCTTTGTCTATTTTTAAATCAAGATATTTAAGTAACAACCAATAAGTACACATATTAATTTAAGATGGGGTCAATGTTCTTTCTAAATTATTTGACAAAAGGCCAGTTGTCATAATGAATCAAAAATCATTAGTTATGACACAGTTAAGATGCAGTTGTAATCTAAATTGGCATTTCTTACTATTCTAAGGTTGATTTTTCCTGCTTCTGAACTCTATAATGTTAGGCAGTCTGCATCAATATTTCCCAACTTCAAGTAATACACAATCCTTTCACAGAAAAAGTTGTGTCAGACTCCCGATACTGACCTACTTGCAGATTGTGTAAAGATGTTTACACACAAATATAAAATTAAGTATAGCCATCTCATGCATACTATAATCATAAAACCAAAACACATTTATAAATTACATAAAATAGTAACCACAAAGTCAAGACATTTCAAATTAATATTAATTTATCAGACAGTTTTGTTGAAGCTAACTTCTGCCAATATGACAGAGCACTGACTCCTCAGGGAAAGATCCTTTTATATTGCCATGCCTATTCCTCCAAACACTGTGTGGCAACCTGATTCATCTATCAGATTGCTTGAAAAAATTACATGAAACTTTTGTGGCATGTATCATCTGGACTTTATTTGGAGGGGACATATGATCTATACATTTAACTCCATCCTTTTTTAGCCTGTAACAAGTAAAATATTTGGTCATAAGGCAATCAAAATACAAATGTGTTTTGTGCAGACACAAATCATGAAATATGAAAATGAGTGAGACACAGAAGTGTCACATTATAGTAGAGAGATGCTCTACTAGAATTATCCTTCACATTTTCAATTAATTTTAATACAAAATTATTTAGATAAGTACAGGTATTAAAATGTAATGACTAAGTATGACCTATGAGGGTTCAAATATGAGGCAGATTACTTGGCTACGGGAAAAAAAGAATGTTTCATGGAGATGACATCTGAGTTGGGCTTGTTTGGGGTAATAATTTTGAAACTGAATACAGCAGAGGAATGATAACAGAAACCACAGGGACATACCTGGAGAAAGTAAGGAAGCATGAGTCATCTGACCACCTACTCTTCTTATTCCAAGTAAACTAGAAATGACCCATAAAGAGAGACTTTTCCGGTCTACATGACACAAAACTAAAAAGAGAATTTGCTCATTCTTGTTCAAGAAATGTTGAGTTTATTTTCATATCTTTATGAGGTTTAAAGTTAACATTGATCTAGGACTCAAACTGTCTTAGCCAAACCAGAGCTTTGAAGTTAGTAAAAATATATATAAATGTATCTGTCAAATACAATTTGTGATTTATATTTAACTGAATTTATAGTTTATTTCAATTTATTTAATCCTATTTCTTCACTTGATGTAATACTTAGAAATTCTGATATACTCCCCAGGATTCCATATTTATGTATGATTTCTTCCAGTTTGCTTCTTTCTGCTTTTACAAAACTAATTTTGAAGTGAAAGGATTTAACTTTATTACCAAGCATCACACTACATTGATTGTCACTTTATAATTTCATAATATTTATAAAGTAAATATCCTATCTTTTAATCTGTATCTCAAATTTTCTTGAGAAAATTATACCTATTATAATTTTAAATATAATAGAAACTTATACCTATCACCAATATTTACCAAATGTAAACAAATTTTCCATAATTCATTCAGATTAAAAAAAATTAGAACTATGTAACAAATTTCTTCCTTCTTAAATCTTGCCCCTGAGGAATTGCTATTCTGAAGTGCATTTTTTTTTTCTTTGAGACTCTGTCTCAAAAGAAAAAAAACTGTTGCCCTGGGTAGAGTGCCGTGGCATTACTGCTCACAGCAACCTCAAACTCTTGGGCTCAAGAGATTCTTTTGCCTCAGCCTCCCAAGTAGCTGGGACTACAGGTGCCCACCACAATGCCCAGCTATTTATTGGCTATAGTTGTCATTGTTGTTTGGCAGGCCCGGACTGTATTCAAACCCGCCAGCTCTGGTGTATATGGTGTCTTAGCGGCTTGAGCTACAGGTGCTAAGCCCTGAAGTACATTTTTATTCAACTACTATTCATTAATTACTCTGTGTTAGGCAGTTAGAGATGCTGGGAAGATAACAGCATTTTACAAAACAGATAAAAATCTCTATTCCCATGGAGCTCACATTCTAGTTGGGGAAAAGAAACAATAAACTAAATAAGTGAAACAAATAAAAGTAAAAAAAAAAATGTTAAAGAAAAACAAGTTAAAGATAAAGGGAGTGCCAAAAGACTAGGTAAGGAAATGCTTTGCAATTCTAAGAAAATCAGAGTAATCAAGAAAATTATTGAAGAGATGGAACCTGATGGTAGAGTCCTTTTGTCTATGTTTGAATCAGAAATAAAGAACACTATTTCTCATTAAGAGAAAACAGTTTTCCTTCACACAGGCCATTATATACGAGCCATGGAAAATAAGTCTCCAGGAAGACCCAGGAGTTTTAACAGTCTATGGAACAGGTTCTCTTCTAGAAAATAAGGTGTTTAAAAGGTGTTTTGTGGTTTCTGTTTTTCTTTTCTCTTTACCAGAAGTTCTTAATTGGGCGGGACGGGGGGACCCTTTCTATGTTCTATGCTCATTTACTAATAAATTTCAATAAATTTTATCAGGGATGTAAACTTTAAAAATTTTAAATAGAAAAGATATAATTGAGAGAAGTTATTTCAATAAAGACTCTAAGAAAATAGAGCAGTAAATAGTGCGTCTCTTTAGAAGGAGTGGTTGACAGAGAAGGAACAATAGGTGCGAATACCTAAGGTGGAACCTTATCTGGCATGCTTGAGTAATAGGAGGGAGAATTCTCTAGTAGAAATGAAGTTATTAGCAAGGGAGAGAATATTGGGAGATGAAGTCAGAGGAGCTGGTAGTCCTTATAGATTATGGCTTTTACTCTTAAGTGAGACAGAAAGTTGCTAGAGGGTTTTGAACAGAAAAGCAGCATAATTTGTAAATATGGGTTTATTCTTCCTGCTATGTTATTAATAGGGTTGGGGGCAGGGCTCAGGAAAGATAAAGGAAGTCAGGTTGGGAAGTTCTTGAGTAGTCCAGGAGAAAGATAAGGTACGAGGGCTCAGAATAGGATAGTAGCAAAGAAGCCTGTAAGAGTATTTTCCTCCTGTCCTCTTGTTCCTGACCTTAAAAGGCATGCTTCTAACATGTAATCATTAAGAGGCATTTTGGTAGATACCCTAATAATATCATAGACATTATTTTTCATTCCTAGTCTGCTAAAAGATCCCATTTCACTTCTGTAAAATTAAAGGTGTGTTTGATTTTATTGAATGCTTTTTCCAAATATGCTGCATTACTACAGTGAATTAACTTTCTAGTGAATGATCAATCACATGACTATTCTTGAGAACTAGGATTCTCACCATAGAAAATACATACAGATGAAAGATAAATTAAGAAAAAACTTTTGGCTTGGTGCCCATAGCACAGTGGTTACAGCGCCAGCCACATATACCAAATTTGGTGGGTTCAAACCCAGCCCAGGCCAGCTAACCAATAATGACAACTGCAACAAAAAATAGCCAGGTGTTGTGGCAGGCGCCTGTAGTCCCAGCTATTTGAGAGGCTGAGACAAGAGAATTGCTTAAGCCCAAGAGTTTAAGGTTGCTGTGAGCTCTTGACGCCACAGCACTCTACCAAGGGCAACATAGTAAGACTCGGTCTCAAAACAAACAAACAAAAAAGAAAAAACTCTTTAGTTAAGAATTTCATGTATGAGTAGATATAATTTCTATCTTTAAAAAATATGGTATGTTTTTTTGTATTTCCCAGTTCCACCCACTGAAAAAAACTAAAAACAATAGGAGATCTAGTAGCAAAGGGGACCCTACCACCTGGACTGAAGGCTCTAAGTCCCATTTACTACTAAAATTAAAGGAATTGATAAATACATAGCTGATTCTAGATCTTGGGGAAGAAATGTACAAGATGATCCAAGAACATTTGGTCATAATAAATATCAAGGAACTTTTGCACAGAATCAGAAAATGACTCAGGAGCTAACCACTGTCAAATTGCCCAGTGGATACTGCTACAGTGCCTAGAGGTGTTCAACGAATACTTTTTAACTAACTTAGTGATGTTGTAT